AGAAAGAACTGAGTGAAAAGAAAGAAGGAACAACTGATTGATAAGAGAGAAAGGACAATAGAAAGGCCGAAAAGAAAAGACGATAGAAAGAAAGAACTGATTGAAAAGAAAGAAGGAACAACTGATTGATAAGAGAGAAAGGACAATAGAAAGGCCGAAAGAAAAGACGATAGAAAAAAGAACTGATTGAAAAGAAAGAAGGAAGAAACTGATTGATAAGAGAAACAAAGGACAATAGAAAGGCCGAAATAAAAAGACGATAGAAAGAAAGAACTGATTGAAAAGAAAGAAGGAACAACTGATTGATAAGAGAGAAAGGACAATAGAAAGGCCGAAATAAAAGACGATAGAAAGAAAGAACTGATTGAAAAGAAAAAGAACAACTGATTGATAAGAGAGAAAGGACAAAGAAAGGCCGAAAGAAAAAATAGAAAGAAAGAACTGATTGAAAAAAAGAAGGAACAACTGATTGATAAGAGAAAGGACAATAGAAAGGCCGAAATAAAAGACGATAGAAAGAAAGAACTGAGTGAAAAGAAAGAAGGAACAACTGATTGATAAGAGAGAAAGGACAATAGAAAGGCCGAAATAAAAGACGATAGAAAGAAAGAACTGATTGAAAAGAAAGAAGGAACAACTGATTGATAAGAGAGAAAGGACAATAGAAAGGCCGAAAGAAAAGACGATAGAAATAAAGAACTGATTGAAAAGAAAGAAGGAACAACTGATTGATAAAGAGAAAGGACAATAGAAAGGCCGAAAAGAAAAGACGATAGAAAGAAAGAACTGATTGAAAAGAAAGAAGGAAAAACTGATTGATAAGAGAGAAAGGACAATAGAAAGGCCGAAAGAAAAGACGATAGAAAGAAAGAACTGAGTGAAAAGAAAGAAGGAACAAATGATTGATAAGAGAGAAAGGACAATAGAAAGGCTGAAAGAAAAGAACTGAGTGAAAAGAAAAAAAAGAAAAGAAAACTAGAAAGGCCGAAATAAAAAAGAAATAGAAAAGAAAGAAAGGAACAACTGATTGATAAGAGAGAAAGGACAATAGAAAGGCCGAAAGAAAAGACGATAGAAAGAAAGAACTGAGGAAAAGAAAGAAGGAACAACTGATTGATAAGAGAGAAAGGACAATAGAAAGGCCGAAATAAAAAGACGATAGAAAGAAAGAACTGATTGAAAAGAAAGAAGGAACAACTGATTGATAAGAGAGAAAGGACAAAGAAAGGCCGAAAGAAAAAGACGATAGAAAGAAAGAAAGAACTGAGTGAAAAAGAAAGAAGGAACAACTGATTGATAAGAGAGAAAGGACAATAGAAAGGCCGAAATAAAAGACGATAGAAAGAAAGAACTGATTGAAAAGAAAGAAGGAACAACTGATTGATAAGAGAGAAAGGACAATAGAAAGGCCGAAAGAAAAGACGATAGAAAAAAAGAATGAGAAAAGAAAGAAGGAACAACTGATTGAAAGAAAGGACAAAGAAACAAATAAAATTGATAGAAAGAAAGAAAGGAAAAAAAGAAAGGCAACTGATTGATAAGAAGAAAAGGACAATAGAAAGGCCGAAAGAAAAACGATGAAAGAAAGAAAGTGAAAAGAAAGAAGGAACAACTGATTGATAAAGAAAGGAGAAAAGACGATAGAAAAAAAGAACGCTGAGTGAAAAGCCGAACAAATTGAAGACAACTGATTGAAATTGAAAAGAAAGAAGGAACAACTGATTGATAAGAAGAAAGGACAATAGAAAGGCCGAAATAAAAAAAAGAAAAGAAAGAACTGATTGAAAGAAAGAAGGAACAACTGATTGATAAGAGAGAAAGGACAATAGAAAGGCCGAAAAGAAAAGACGATAGAAAGAAAGAACTGATTGAAAAGAAAGAAGGAACAACTGATTGATAAGAGAGAAAGGACAATAGAAAGGCCGAAAGAAAAAGACGATAGAAAGAAAAGAACTGAGTTGAAAAAGAAAGAAGGAACAACTGATTGATAAGAGAGAAAGAAACAATAGGAAACAAATGGTTGATAAAAGGACAACGAAAGAAAGAAAAGAACGATAGAAATAAAGAAAGAAAAAAAAAGGAACAACTGATTGATAAGAGAGAAAAGGACAAAGAAAGGCCGAAAAGAAAAGACGATAGAAAGAAAGAACTGATTGAAAAGAAAGAAGGAACAACTGATTGATAAGAGAAAGGACAATAGAAAGGCCGAAAGAAAAGACGATAGAAAGAAAGAACTGAGTGAAAAGAAAGAAGGAACAACTGATTGATAAGAGAAAAGGACAATAGAAAGGCCGAAAGAAAAAGACGATAGAAAGAAAGAACTGATTGAAAAGAAAGAAGGAACAACTGATTGATAAGAGAGAAAGGAAAGGACAATAGAAAGAAAAGAACTGATTGAAAAGAAAAAGGAACAACGATAAGAGAGAAAGACAAAGAAAAAGAACTGATTGATAGAAAAAAGAAAGAAAAGAAAGAAGGAACAACTGATTGATAAGAGAGAAAGGACAATAGAAAGGCCGAAAATAAAAAGACGATAGAAAGAAAGAACTGATTGAAAAGAAAGAAGGAACAACTGATTGATAAGAGAGAAAGGACAATAGAAAGGCCGAAATAAAAGACGATAGAAAGAAAAGAACTGATTGAAAAGAAAGAAGGAACAACTGATTGAAAAGAGAAAGGACAATAGAAAGGCTGAAAAAAAAAGACGATAGAAAGAAAGAAAATGAAAGAGAAGGAACAACTGATTGATAAGAGAAAGGACAATAGAAAGAAAAAGAAAAAGACGATTGAAAGAAAGAACTGAGGAAAAGAAATAAGGAAGGCCGAGAATAAAAGAAAGGCCCAAAGAAAAAAAGAACTGATTGAAAAAAGAAAAGAAGGAAGAAAACAACTGATTGATAAGAGAGAAAGGACAATAGAAAAGGCCGAAATAAAAGACGATAGAAAGAAAAAGAACTGATTGAAAGAAAGAAGGAAAACAACTGATTGATAAGAAAGAAGAAAGAGAAAGGACAATAGAAATAAAAAGACGATAGAAAGAAAAACTGATTGAAAAGAAAGAAGGAACAACTGATTGATAAGAGAAAAGGACAATAGAAAGGGAAAAAAAAGACGATAGAAAAAAGAAAGAACTGATTGAAAAGAAAGAAGGAACAACTGATTGATACTGAGAGAAAAGAAAGGACAATAGAAGAGGCCGAAAAGAAAAAAGAAAAGATAGAAAGAAAGAACTGATTGAAAAGAAAGAAGGAACAACTGATTGATAAGAGAAAGGACAATAGAAAGGCGAAAGAAAAGACGATAGAAAAAAAGAACTGATTGAAAAGAAAAAAAGAACTGATTGATAAGAGAGAAAGGAAAGAAAAGAAAAGAAAGAAGGAACAACTGATTGATAAGAGAGAAAGGACAATAAAAGGCCGAAATAAAAGACTGATTGATTGATAAGAGAGAAAGGACAATAGAAAGGCCGAAAAAAAACGATAGAAAGAAAGAACTGATTGAAAAGAAAAAGAACAACTGATTGATAAGAAAGAAAGGACAATAGAAAGGCCGAAAGAAAAGACGATAGAAAGAAAGATTGAAAAGAAAGAAGGAACAATTAGAAAGGCTGAAATAAAAGAGAAAAGAAAAGGAACAAATTGAAAGAGAAAGGACAATGAAAGAAATAAAAGACGATAGAAAGAAAATGAGTGAAAAGAAAAAAGACGATAGAAAAGAGATAGAAAAGAACTGATTGAAAAGAAAAAGGAACAACTGATTGAAGAGAAAAGGACAATAGAAAGGCCGAAAGAAAAGACGATGAAAGAAAGAAGAGAAAAGAAAAGAAGGAACAATAAGAGAGAAAGGACAATAGAAAGGAAAAGACGATAGAAAGAAAGAACTGATTGAAAAGAAAGAAGGAACAACTGATTGATAAGAGAGAAAGGACAATAGAAAGGCCGAAATAAAAGACGATAAAAGAAAGAACTGCCGAAAAGAAAGAAGGAACAACTGATTGATAAGAGAAAGGACAATAGAAAGGGCCGAAATAAAAAGACGATAGAAAAGAAAGAACTGATTGAAAAGAAAGAAGGAACAACTGATTGATAAGAGAGAAAGGACAATAGAAAGGCCGAAATAAAAGACGATAGAAAGAAAGAACTGATTGAAAAGAAAAAGGAAAAGATTGATAAGAGAGAAACAAATAGAAAAGGCCGAAAGAAAAGAGATAGAAAGGAACTGATTGAAAAGAAAGGAACAACTGATTGATAAGAGAGAAAGGACAACAGAAAGGCCGAAAGAAAAGACGATAGAAAGAAAGAACTGATTGAAAAGAAAGAAGAAACAACTGATTGATAAGAGAGAAAGGACAATAGAAAGGCCGAAAGAAAAGACGATAGAAAGAAAGAACTGATTGAAAAGAAAGAAGGAACAACTGATTGATTGAGAAAGAAAAAGACGATAGAAAGGCCGAACAACTGATTGATAAGAGAGAAAAGGGGACAAAAACTGAAAGAAAAGACGATAGAAAGAAAGAACTGATTGAAAGAAAAAGAACAACTGATTGATAAGAAGAAAGGACAATAGAAAGGCCGAAAAAAAGACGATAGAAAGAAAAAGAACTGATTGAAAGAAAGAAAGGAACAACTGATTGATAAGAGTGAAAAGAAAGAAGACAATAGAAAGGCCGAAAGGCCGAAATAAAAGACGATAGAAAGAAAGAACTGATTGAAAAGAAAGAAGGAACAACTGATTGATAAGAGAGAAAAGGACAATAGAAAGGCCGAAAGAAAAAGACGATAGAAAGAAAGAACTGATTGAAAAGAAAGAAGGAACAACTGATTGATAAGAGAGAAAGGACAATAGAAAGGCCGAAAGAAAAGACGAGAAAGAAAGAAGAAAAAGAAAGAAGGAACAACTGATTGATAAGAGAGAAAAGGACAATAGAAAGGAAAAGACGATAGAAAAGAAAAAACTGATTGAAAAGAAAGAAGGAACAACTGATTGATAAGAGAGAAAGGACAATAGAAAGGCCGAAATAAAAGACGATAGAAAGAAAGAACTGATTGAAAAGAAAGAAGGAACAACTGATTGATAAGAGAGAAAGGACAATAGAAAGGCCGAAAGAAAAGACGATAGAAAGAAAGAACTGATTTGAAAAGAAAAAGGAACAACTGATTGATAAGAGAGAAAGGACTGAAAGAAAAAGACGATAGAAAGAAAGAACTGATTGTGAAAAGAAAGAAGGAACAACTGATTGATAAGAGAGAAAGGACAATAGAAAGGCCGAAATAAAAGACGATAGAAAAAAAAGAACTGAGGAAAAGAAAGAAGGAACAACTGATTGATAAGAGAGAAAGGACAATAGAAAGGCCGAAATAAAAAAGACGATAGAAAGAAAAAGAACTGATTGAAAAGAAAGAAGGAACAACTGATTGATAAGAGAGAAAGGACAATAGAAAGAAAGAAAAGACGATAGAAAAAAAAGAACTGATGAAAAGAAAGAAGGAACAACTGATTGATAAGAGAGAAAGGACAATAGAAAGGCCGAAAAAAAAGACGATAGAAAGAAAGAACTGAGTGAAAAGAAAGAAGGAACAACTGATTGAAGAGAAAGGACAAACGAAATAAAAGACGATAGAAAGAAAAAACTGATTGAAAAGAAAGAAGGAACAACTGATTGATAAGAGAGAAAGGACAATAGAAAGGGAAAGGCGATAGAAAGAAAGAACTGAGTGAAAGAAAAAGGAACAACGATAGAAAGGACAAAGAAACCGAAATAAAAGACGAGTGAAAGAAATTGAAAAGAAAGAAGGAACAACTGATTGATAAGAGAGAGACAAAAAAGGCCAAAATAAAAGACGATAGAAAGAAAGAACTGATTGAAAAAGAAGGAACAACTGATTGATAAGAGAAAAGGACAAAGAAAGGCCGAAAGAAAAGACGATAGAAAGAAAGAACTGATTGAAAAGAAAGAAGGAACAACTGATTGATAAGAGAGAAAGGAGGCCGAAAGAAAAGACGATAGAAAAAAGAAAGAACTGATTGAAAAGAAAGAAGGAACAACTGATTGATAAGAGAGAAAGGACAAAGAACTGAAATAAAAGACGATGAAAAAGAAATTGAAAAGGAACAACTGATTGATAAGAGAGAAAGGACAAAGAAAGAAAGAAAAGACGATAGAAAAGAAAGAACTGAGTGAAAAGAAAGAAGGAACTGATTGATAAGAGAGAAGGGCAATAGAAATAAAAAGACGAGAAAGAAAGAACTGATTGAAAAGAAAGAAGGAACAACTGATTGATAAAAGAGAAAGGACAATAGAAAAAGAAAAAGACGATAGAAAGAAAGAACTGATTGAAAAGAAAGAAGGAACAACTGATTGATAAGAGAGAAAGGACAATAGAAAGGCCGAAATAAAAAGACGATAGAAAGAAAGAACTGATTGAAAAGAAAGAAGGAACAACTGATTGATAAGAGAGAAAGGACAATAGAAAGGCCGAAATAAAAGAAATAAAGAACTGATTGAAAAGAAAGAAGAAAAGAATAAGAGAGAAAGGACAATAGAAAGGCCGAAAAGACGATAGAAAGGAACTGAAAAGAAAGAAAGGAACAACTGATTGATAAGAGAGAAAGGACAACAGAAAAGGCTGAAAGAAAAGACGATAGAAAGAAAGAACTGATTGAAAGAAAAAGGAACAACTGATTGATAACAGAGAAAGGACAATAGAAAGAAAAAAAAAGACGATAGAAAGAAAGAACTGGATGAAAGAAAGAAGGAACAACTGATTGATAAAGAGAAAGGACAATAGAAAGGAAAAAAGACGATAGAAAAGAAAGAACTGATTGAAAAGAAAGAAGACTGATTGAAGAGAGAAAAGGACAATAGAAAGGCCGAAAGAAAAGACGATAGAAAGAAAGAACTTGAAAAGAAAGAAGGAAACAACTGATTGATAAGAGAGAAAGGACAATAGAAAGGCCGAAATAAAAGACGATAGAAAGAAAGAACTGATTGAAAAGAAAAAGGAACAACTGATTGAAAAGAAAGGACAATAGAAAGGCCGAAAGAAAAACGATAGAAAGAAAGAATTGAGAAGGAACAACTGATTGAGAGAAAGGACAATAGAAAGGAGTGAAAGAAAAAGACGAAGGAAAGAAAGGCTCCAAAAGAAAAACTAAAAAGAAAAAAGAAAAGAAAAGGAACAACTGATTGATAAGAGAGAAAGGGAAAGGCCCAAAAGAAAAGACGATAGAAAGAAAGAACTGATTGAAAAGAAAGAAGGAACAACTGATTGATAAGAGAGAAAGGAAGAAAGGCCGAAAGAAAAGACGATAGAAAGAAAGAACTGATTGAAAAGAAAAAGGAACAACTGATTGATAAGAAAAGAAGGAAGAAAAAAGAAAAGACGAGAGAAAGAAAAGAACTGATTGAAAAGAAAGAAGAAAAGATTGATAAGAGAGAAAGGACAATAGAAAGGCCGAAAAAAAAGACGATAGAAAGAAAAAGAGTGAAAAGAACAACTGATTGATAAAGAAAGACAAAGGAACAACTGATTGAAAGAAAGAAGAGAAAAGGACAATAGATTGGCCGAAAGAAAAGACGATAGAAAGAAAAGAGAAAAGAAAGAACTGAGTGAAAAGAAAGAAGGAACAACTGATTGATAAGAGAGAAAAGGACAAGAAAAGAAATAAAAAGACGATAGAAAGAAAGAACTGAGTGAAAAGAAAGAAGGAACAACTGAATAAGAGAGAAAGGACAATAGAAAGGCCGAAAGAAAAGAGAAAGAGAACTGAGTGAAAAGAAAGAAGGAAAACGATTGAAAAGAGAAAGGACAATAGAACAAGGAAAGAAAAGATGATATAGAAAGAAAACTGAGTGAAAAGAAAGAAGAAAAACTGATTGATAAGAGAGAAAGGACAATAGAACGAAATAGATAGAAAGAAAGAACTGATTGAAAAGAAAGAAGGAACAACTGATTGATAAGAGAGAAAGGACAATAGAAAGGCCGAAATAAAAAGACGATAGAAAGAAAGAACTGATTGAAAAGAAAAGAAGGATTGATTGATAAGAGAGAAAGGACAATAGAAAGAAGGAACAAGAACTGATAAGAACAACTGATTGATAAGAGAGAAAGGACAATAGAAAGGCCGAAATAAAAGACGATAGAAAGAAAGAAATTGAAAAGAAAAGAAGGAACAACTGATTGAGAGAGAAAATAGAAAGGCCGAAAGAAAAGTAGAAAGAAAGAACTGAAAAAGAAAAAGAAAACCGAGATTGATAAGAGAGAAAGGACAATAGAAAGGCCTGAAAGAAAGAAAGAAGAAAGAAAGAAGGAACAACTGAGGTGAAAGGCCGAAAAAAAGACGATAGAAAGAAAGAACTGATTGAAAAGAAAGAAGGAACAACTGATTGATAAGAGAGAAAGGACAATAGAAAGGCCGAAATAAAAGACGATAGAAAGAAAGAACTGATGAAAAGAAAGAAGGAACAAAGAAAGAACTAAAAAGGCCGAAAGAAAAGACGAAGAAAAGAAAGAACTGGTGGAAAAGAAAAGGAAACTGATTGATAAGAAGAAAGGACAAGAAAAAGGACGATAGAAAGAAAGAAATTGAAAAGAAAGAAGGCTGATTGATAAGAGAGAAAGGACAATAGAAACCAAAATAAAAGACGATAGAAAGAAAGAACTGATTGAAAAGAAAAAGGAACAACTGATTGATAAAAGAGAAAAGGACAATAGAAAGGCCGAAAGAAAAGAGAAAGAACTGAGAAAAGAAAGAAGGAACAACTGATTGATAAGAGAGAAAGAAAGAAACTGATTGAAAGAAAAAGGAACCGAAGAGAAAGACGGCCGAAAGAAAAAAGAAAGAACTGAGTGAAAAGAAAGAAGGAACAAATTGATTGATAAAAGAGAGAAAGGAGAATAGAAAGGCCGAAAGAAAAGACGATAGAAAGAAAGAACTGAGTGAAAAGAAAGAAGGAACAACTGATTGATAAAGAGAAAGGACAATAGAAAGGCCGAAAGAAAAGACGATAGAAAGAAAGAACTGATTGAAAAGAAAGAAGGAACAACTGATTGATAAGAGAGAAAGGACAATAGAAAAGGCCGAAATAAAAGACGATAGAAAGAAAGAACTGATTGAAAAGAAAGAAGGAACAACTGATTGATAAGAGAGAAAGGACAATAGAAAATAAAAAACGATAGAAAGAAAGAACGATGAAAGAAAGAAGAACAACTGATTGATAAAGAGAAAACTGAAAGTGAAAAGAAAGAAATTGAAAAGAAAGAAGGAACAACTGATTGATAAGAGAGAAAGGAAACAATAGAAAGAAAGAACTGATTGAAAGAAAGAAGGAACAACTGATTGATAAAGAGAAAGGACAATAGAAACGAAATAAAAGACGATAGAAAGAAAGAACTGATTGAAAAAGAAAGAAGGAACAACTGATTGATAAGAGAGAAAGGACAATAGAAAAAGGAAAGAAAAGACGATAGAAAGAAAGAACTGAGTGAAAAGAAAGAAGGAACAACTGATTGATAAGAGAGAAAGGACAATAGAAAGGCTGAAATAAAAAAAAGACGATAGAAAGAAAGAACTGATTGAAAAGAAAGAAGGAACAACTGATTGATAAGAGAGAAAGGACAATAGAAAGGCCGAAATAAAAGACGATAGAAAGAAAGTGAAAAGAAAGAAGGAACAACTGATTTAAAAGACGATAGAAAGAAAGAAAGAAAAGAAAGAAGGAAACAACTGATTGATAAGAAAGGCCAGAAAGAAAAAAAAGACGATGAGAAAGAAAGAACTGAGAAAGAAAAAAGGAAAACTGATTGCCGAAAGAGAGAAAACAACTGAAATTGATAAGAGAAAAGAAAAAGGAACAACTGATTGATAAGAGAGAAAGGACAATAGAAAGGCCGAAAGAAAAGACGATAGAAAGAAAGAACTGAGTGAAAAGAAAGAAGGAACAACTGATTTGCCGAAATAAAAGAGATAGAAAGAAAGAACTGATTGAAAAGAAAGAAGGAACAACTGATTGATAAGAGAAAGGACGAAAGAAAGAAAAGACGAAAGAAGAACTGGTGAAAAGAAAGAAGGAACAACTGATTGATAAGAGAGAAAGGACAATAGAAACTAAAAGACGATTGATGAAAAGAAAGAAGGAACAACTGATTGATAAGAGAGAAAGGACAATAGAAAGGCCGAAATAAAAAATAAAAAGACGATAGAAAGAAAGAACTGATTGAAAAGAAAGAAGGAACAACTGATTGATAAGAGAAAGGAACAATGAGTGAAAAGAAAGAAGAAATTGGCTAAGAGAGAAAGGAAAGAAAAAGACGATAGAAAGAAAGAACTGAGTGAAAAGAAAGAAGGAACAACTGATTGAGAAAGAAGGAACATAGAACTGAAAGAAAAAACAAAAAAGATTGAAAGAAAGAAGAGAAAAGAAAGGAACAACTGATTGATAAGAGGACAATAGAAAAAGAAAAGACGATAGAAAGAAAGAACTGATTGATTGAAAAGAAAGAAAAAGAACTGATTGAAGAGAGAAAAAATAGAAAGGCAAGAAAAAGAAAAGACGATAGAAAGAAAGAATTGAGAAAGAAGGAAAAGGATTGATAAGAGAGAAAGGACAATAGAAAAACCGAAAAAAAAAAACGATAGAAAAAAAGAACTGATGAAAAGAAAGAAGGAACAACTGATTGATAAGAGAAAAGGACAAAAAGGCCAAAATAAAAAGACGAAGAAAGAAAGAACTGATTGAACAACTGATTGATAAGAGAGAAAAGGACAAAGAAATAAAAAAGAAAAGACGATAGAAAGCCTGAGTGAAAAGAAAAGAAGGAACAACTGATTGATAAGAGAGAAAGAAAGAAACGAAATGACGATGGAAAGAAAGAACTGATTGAAAGAAGGAACAACTGATTGATAAGAGAGAAAGGACAATAGAAAGGCCGAAAGAAAAGACGATAGAAAGAAAGCCGAAAGAGAGAAAGGACAATAGAAAGGCCGAAATAAAAGACGATAGAAAGAAAGAACTGAGTGAAAAGAAAGAAGAAAACAACTGATTGATAAAGGAGAAAGGCTGAAAGAAAAGACGATAGAAAAAAGAACTGAGTGAAAAGAAAGAAGGAACAACTGATTGAAAGAAAGGACAATAGAAAGGCCGAAAGAAAAGACGATAGAAAGAAAGAATGAAAAAAAAAAGAAAACAACTGATTGATAAGAAAGAAAGAAAGGCCGAAAGAAAAGACGATAGAAAGAAACAACTGATTGAAAAGAAAGAAGGAACAAATGATAAGAGAAAGGACAAAAGAAAGGCCGAAAGAAAGACCTTAGAAAGAAAGAACTGAGTGAAAAGAAAGAAGGAACAACTGATTGATAAGAGAGAAAGGACAATAGAAAGGCCGAAAGAAAAGACGATAGAAAGAAAGAACTGATTGAAAAGAAAGAAGGAACAACTGATTGATAAGAGAGAAAGGACAATAGAAAGGCCGAAATAAAAGACGATAGAAAGAAAGAACTGATTGAAAAGAAAGAAGGAACAACTGATTGATAAGAGAGAAAGGACAATAGAAAGGCCGAAAGAAAAGACGATAGAAAGAAAGAACTGAGTGAAAAGAAAGAAGGAACAACTGATTGATAAGAGAGAAAGGACAATAGAAAGGCCAAAAGAGAAAGAACGATAGAAAGAAAGAAAGAACTGGGTGAAAAGAAAAAAGGAAGAAAGGCTTGATTGAAAAGAGAGAAAGGACAATAGAAAGAAAAGAAAAAGGAACGATAGAAAAAAGACGATGAAAAAAAAAAGAACAACTGATTGATAAGAAAGAAAAAGGACAAAGAAAGGCCCAAAGAAAAGAAAGAAAGAACTGATGAAAAGAAAGAAGGAAAGATATTGATAAGAAGAGAAAAGAAAAAAGAAAGAAGGAAACAACTGATTGAAAAAGATTGATAAAAAGAAAGAAAAGGACAATAGAAAAGAAAAGAAAGAAAAGAAAAGAACGAAAGAAAGAAAGAAAAGGCCGAAAAAGAGTGAAAAACTGATTGAAAGAAAGAACAATGATAAGAAAGGCTAAAATAGAAAAAAAGATTAGAAAGAAAGAAGAAAAGAAAGAAGGAACAACAATAGAAAGGCCGAAAGAAAAGACGATAGAAAGAAAGAACTGATTGAAAAGAAAGAAGGAACAACTGATTGATAAGAGAGAAAGGACAATAGAAAGGCCGAAAGAAAAGACGATAGAAAAGAAAGAACTGATTGAAAAGAGAAAGAAGAAACAACTGAAAAGAGAAAGGAAAAAGGACAAAAAAAGGCTAAAAGTAGATAGAAAGAAAGAACTGATTGAAAAGAAAGAAAGAAACAACTGATTGATAAGAGAAAGGACAAAAGAAAAAGAAAAGAAAAGCAGAAAGAAAGAAAGAACTGAGGAAAAGAAAGAAGGAACAACTGATTGATAAGAGAAAGGCCGAAATAAAAAAAGAAAGACATTGAAAAGAAAGAAGGAACAACTGATTGATAAGAGAGAAAGGACAAGAAAGGCCGAAATAAAAGACGATAGAAAGAAAGAACTGATTGAAAAGAAAGAAGGAACAACTGATTGATAAGAGAGAAAGGACAACTAAAGGACGATAGAAAGAAAAGACGATAGAAAGAAAGAACTGATTGATGAAAAGAAAGAAGGAAAAACAACTGATTGATAAGAGAGAAAGGACAATAGAAAGGCCGAAAGCTATAAAAAAGACGAAAGAAAGAAAGAACTGAGGAAAAGAAAGAAGGAACAACTGATTGATAAGAGAGAAAGGACAATAGAAAGGCCGAAAAAAAGACGAAAGAAAGAAAGAAAATTGAAAAGAAAGAAGGAACAACTGATTGATAAGAGAAAAGGACAATAGAAAGGCCGAAATAAAAGACGAGAAAGAAAGAAAGGAAAAGAAAGAAGGAACAACTGATTGATAAGAGAGAAAGGACAATAGAAAGAAAGAACTGAGTGAAAAGAAAAAGGAACAATGATTGATAAGAGAGAAAGAAAATAGAAAGGCCGAAAGAAAAGACGATAGAAAGAAAGAACTGAGTGAAAAGAAAGAAGGAACAACTGATTGATAAGAGAGAAAGGACAATAGAAAGGCCGAAAGAAAAGACGATAGAAAGAAAGAACTGATTGAAAAGAAAGAAGGAACAACTGATTGATAAGAGAGAAAGGACAATAGAAAGAAAGAAAGAAAAGACGATAGAAAGAAAGAAAGAACTGATTGAAAAGAAAGAAGGAACAACTGATTGATAAGAGAGAAAGGACAATAGAAAGATTGAAAAAAAAGACGAAAAAGAAAAAAAGAACTGAAAAGAAAGAAGGAGAAACTGATTGATAAGAGAGAAAGGACAATAGAAAGGCCGAAAGAAAAGACGATAGAAAGAAAGAACTGATTGAAAAGAAAGAAGGAACAACTGATTGATAAGAGAAAGGACAATAGAAAGGCCGAAAGAAAAGACGATAGAAAGAAAGAACTGATTGAAAAGAAAGAAGGAACAACTGATTGATAAGAGAGATTGAAAAGAAAGAAGGAACAACTGATTGATAAGAGAGAAAGGACAATAGAAAGGCCGAAAAAAAAGACGATAGAAAGAAAGAACTGATTGAAAAGAAAGAAGGAACAACTGATTGATAAGAGAGAAAGGACAATAGAAAGGCCGAAATAAAAACGATAGAAAAGAACTGATTGAAAAAAGAAAAGAACTGATTGAAAAGAAAAAGAAGAAAGGAGAAAAGAAAATTGAAAAGAAAGAAGGAAAATGAGAGAAAGGACAATAGAAAGGCCGAAAGAAAAGACGATAGAAAGAAAGAACTGATTGAAAAGAAAGAAGGAACAACTGATTGATAAGAGAGAAAGGACAATAGAAAGGCCGAAATAAAAGACGATAGAAAGAAAGAAAGAAAAAGAAAGAAGGAAAACTGATTGATAAGAGAGAAAGGACAATAGAAAAGAAAAGGAAAAGACGAGAGAAAGAAAGAACTGATTGAAAAAGAAAGAAGGAACAACTGATTGATAAGAGAGAAAGGACAATAGAAAGGAGAAAGAAAAGACGATAGAAAGAAAGAACTGATTGAAAAGAAAGAAGGAACAACTGATTGAAGAAAAGGACAAAGAAAGGCCGAAATGAAAAAGAGAGAAAGGATAGAAAGAAAAGAAAATTGAAAAGAAAGAAGGAACAACTGATTGATAAAGAGAAAGGACAATAGAAAGGCCGAAAGAAAAGACGATAGAAAAGAATGAAAAGAAAGAAGGAACAACTGATTGATAAGAGAGAAAGGACAATAGAAAGGCCGAAAGAAAAGACGATAGAAAGAAAACCGAAAATTGAAAAGAAAGAAGGAACAACTGATTGATAAGAGAGAAAACTGATTGAGGCCGAAAGAGAGAAAAAGAACTGATTGAAAAGAAAGAAAGATTGAAAGAAAAAGACGATAGAAAGAAAAGAACTGAAAGAAAGAAAAGAAAAGAAGGAACAACTGATTGATAAGAAGAAAGGAGAAAGGCCGAAAAGAAAAGACGATAGAAAGAAAGAACTGGTGAAAAGAAAGAAGGAACAACTGATTGATAAGAGAAAAGACGATAGAAAGAAAGAACTGATTGAAAAGAAAAAGAACAACTGATTGATAAGAGAGAAAGGACAATAGAAAGGCCGAAAGAAAAGACGATAGAAAGAAAGAAATTGAAAAGGAACAACTGATTGATAAGAGAGAAAGGACAATAGAAAGGCCGAAAGAAAAGACGATAGAAAGAAAGAACTGATTGAAAAGAAAGAAGGAACAACTGATTGATAAGAGAGAAAGGACAATAGAAAGGCCGAAAGAAAAGACGATAGAAAGAAAGAACTGAGTGAAAAGAAAGAAGGAACAACTGATTGATAAGAGAGAAAGGACAATAGAAAGGCCGAAATAAAAGACGATAGAAAGAAAGAACTGAGTGAAAAAAGAAAGAAGAACAACTGATTGATAAGAGAGAAAGGACAATAGAAAGGCCGAAAAGAAGATAGAAAGAAAGAACTGAGTGAAAAGAAAGAAAGGAACAACTGATTGATAAGAGAGAAAGGACAAAGAAAGGCCGAAAGAAAAGACAATGAATGAAAGATTGATAAAAGAAAGGACAAAACGAAAGAAAAGACGATAGAAAAGAAAGAACTGATTGAAAAGAAAGAAGGAACAACTGATTGATAAGAGAGAAAGGACAATAGAAAGGCCGAAAGAAAAGACGATAGAAAGAAAGAACTGATTGAAAAGAAAGAAGGAACAACTGATTGATAAGAAAAAGAAGGCCGAAATTAAAAGACGATAGAAACAACTGATTGATAAGAGAAAAAAGAAACGAAAAAAAGACGATAGAAAGAAAGAACTGAGTGAAAAGAAAGAAAGAAGGAACAAGATTGATAAAAGAGAGAAAGGACAATAGAAAGGCCAAAATAAAAGACGAAAGAAATAGAAAGAAAGAACTGATTGAAAAGAAAGAAGGAACAACTGATTGATAAGAGAGAAAGGACAATAGAAAGGCCGAAAGAAAAGACGATAGAAAGAAAGAACTGAGTGAAAAGAAAGAAGGAACAACTGATTGATAAGAGAGAAAGGACAATAGAAAGGCCGAAATAAAAGACGATAGAAAGAAAGAACTGATTGAAAAGAAAGAAGGAACAACTGATTGATAAGAGAGAAAGGACAATAGAAAGGCCGAAAGAAAAGACGATAGAAAGAAAGAACTGATTGAAAAGAAAGAAGGAACAACTGATTGATAAGAGAGAAAGGACAATAGAAAGGCCGAAAGAAAAGACGATAGAAAGAAAGAACTGAGTGAAAAGAAAGAAGGAACAACTGATTGAGAAAGGACAAGAGAAAGGACAATAGAAAAGAAAAGGCCGAAAGAAAAAGAAAGAACTGATTGAAAAGAAAGAAAGAACTGAGTAGAAATAAAAAGAAAGAAGGAACAACTGATTGATAAGAGAGAAAGGACAATAGAAAGGCCGAAAGAAAAGACGATAGAAAGAAAGAACTGATTGAAAAGAAAGAAGGAACAACTGATTGATAAGAGAGAAAGGACAATAGAAAGGCTGAAAAGAAAAGACGATAGAAAGAAAGAACTGATTGAAAAGAAAGAAGGAACAACTGATTGAGAAAGAGAGAAAGGACGATAGAAAAAAAGAACTGATTGAAAAGAAAGAAGGAACAACTGATTGATAAGAGAAAGGACAAAGAAAAGAAATAAAAGAAAGAAAGAAAGAACTGAAAAGAAAGAAGGAACAACTGATTGATAAGAGAGAAAGGACAAGAAAGGCCAAAAGAAAAAGGACAATTGAAAAGAAAGAAGGAACAAACTGAAAGGAAAGGAAATAGAAAGGACGATAGAAAGAAAGAACTGAGTGAAAAGAAAGAAGGAACAACTGATTGATAAGAGAGAAAGGACAATAGAAAGAAAGAAAAAGGATTGAAAAGAAAGAAAAGACGATAGAAAGAAAGAAAGAACTGAAATTGACGAAAAAGAACAGAAGGAACAACTGATTGATAAGAGAGAAAGGACAATAGAAAGGCCGAAAGAAAAAGAGAAAGAAAGAATGGGTGAAAAGAAAAGAACTGATTGATAAGAGAAAAGGACAAAGAAGGAAAAAAAGACGATAGATTGAGAAGAGAAAAGAAAAAGGAACAAATTGATAAGAGAAGGCCAAGAAAAAAGAAAAGACGATAGAAAGAAAGAACTGGTGAAAAGAAAGAAGGAACAACTGATTGATAAGAGAGACATAGAAAAGGACAATAGAAAGGCCGAAAGAAAAGATTGATAGAAAGAAAGAACTGGGTGAAAAGAAAGAAGGAACAACTGATTGATAAGAGAGAGAGAAAGGCCGAAAGAAAAACGATAGAGAAAGGCCGAAAGAAAAAGACAACTGATTGATAAGAGAGAAAGAAAGAACTGAGTGAAAGAAAAAAGAAAGAAGGAACAACTGATTGATAAAGAGAAAGGGAGAAAGAGAAAGAAAGCTGGGTGAAAAGAAAGAAGGAAAAACTGATTGATAAGAGAGAAAGGACAAAGAAACGAAAGAAAAGACGATGAAAGAAAGAAAGTGAAGAACAACTGATTGATAAGAGAGAAAGGACAAAAAAAAAAGAAAAGACGATAGAAAGAAAGAACTGAGTGAAAAGAAAGAAAGAAGGAAAAACTGATTGATAAAAAGAAAGAAAAAAAAAGACCAAAATAAAAGATGAAATAAATAAAGAAATGAGTGAAAAGGAAAAAAGGAAAACTGATTGATAAAAAGAAAGAAAGAGAACTAAATGAAAAGAGAAAAGATTCTAGGATAATAAATAAAAACCTGCGCACAGTCCTTATCGCCTACATCCATAATGGGTATGCAATTAAAAGTTATCATTGCTGTTAATCAGCTATTTTTGTTATTATTCAACATCTGTATACGTTTTGGACAAAAATTATTGTGACTGATACTATAAAAAGAAAACTACACAACATATGAATTCTGAAGCTACACACTTACGCTATGGCGTGGCTTTCATTGAAGGAAGCATTCCTGGAACTCCTTTTTGGGGGAGAATAGCGAGCAGCTGCCGAGTCGCAGTCTCTTGGATTTCCTCGACATCTTAATATCGTGTTACTTTCAAATGGGATTTGATTTTTAAGAAGAAAATATCGCAAGCGAAATATGGTCGGACCTGGGAATGCTGTAATTGGCCAAAAATTGCTGCACAATCAATGGACATTCGTGGAACCCTTGTGGTGTGGCGAGACAACCACACTCTACACACTTTTCTTCCAAACGCTGCTAATAAACAATTAAATGAGCGAGAAAGTTACATCTAAGTGCTACGCGCAACAGCGTTCTAGGACTATCTATGCCAAGCGGATTCATTCGGCTTACTTTAGCTCTCTTACCAAGAAGCAGCCCGGATACCCTTTGATCAAACTCAGTATATTCATTCTTTCTTTTTCTTCTCTATTTTTTCACAGGATTTAATTCGAAAACTATGCATTTCTGACCGCGAAATGTTATGATTTCCATATTTTGATCACTATGTATTTCATTCCTGTTTACCTGCTGTGCTCATATCATTGAGATTGAAACAATATTTCAAGTGTGGCTTTCAAACGTGGTCTCTTGCCGTGATTCGAACAATGACTGTCGGCTTTGCATGCGTGTTTATTTAGAATCTGCCTCGTCGGAGCACGCACAATTTTAATTTCAGTTCAGCGGATCTTTCGATCGCATCCCCAGATTTTAGTCTCTTCCTTCGCTATGTTTATAAGATTTTCTTTTTTTCCCTTTGTTGTTTCTTGTTCTTGTTGTTTTTTTATTTTTTCGCAGGATTTTTGTTTATAAGATTTTCTTTTTTCTTTTTGTTATTTTCAGGAATTTATAGTTTCTTTTTAATGAGTTCCCTGATCCTGTGTTATTCTTTTATTTAGTTTTTTTTTTTTTCCAAAAAATATTCTTAATGTTATTTTTTAAAAATAATGTTTTTTCTTTGTGAACCTTTAATATTTTTTCAGTAAACAATTTTGTTGTTATATTTAGTCCTGTTTCATCCCTTCTTTGGATCTTTCTTTCTTTCGTTTCAATCAGTGTTTTTCTTTCTTTCTTTCTTTTCAGTCAGTTCTTTTCTTTCTTTCGTCATTTATTTCGGCCTTTCTTTTCTCCTTTCTTTCTTATCAATCAACTTTTCCTCCTTTTTTTTATTGGTTTATTTATTTATTTTAATACGGTCTCTTCATTCTTATTGTCTTCCTTTCTTTAAACAAATTCACTTAGTTTTATTCCTCCGTTTCTTTCTTATTTTCGTTTTTCTTTCCTTCTTTCTTTCTTCATACACATTCACTTCGTTTTTTTTTATTCTTTCTGCTCATAATCTTTCTCGTATTTTGTCTTTAAGCAAAGTTGTTTGCTTTCTTTTTACTCGCAGTTTTTCATCTTTTTGGGGCTTTCTTTAATCAAATTCTTCTTGTTTCACTAAATTCATTTATTTGTTTCTTTCTTTCTTTCCTTTATTTCTTTATATTAATACAGTCTTTTTTCTCTTTCTTGTTTTCTTTATTTCTTCCTTCCTTCCTTCCTTCCTTTCTTCCTTCCTTCCTTTCGTAATTCTCTAAGCAAATTACCTTCCCTTTTTTCTTTCTTTCTGTCCCTCTTTTTTTATTTTAATACAGTCCTTTTTTCTCTTTCTTGTTTTCTTCCTCCCTTTCGTCTTTCTTTAAGAAAATTACCTTTATTTTTTTCTTTCTTTCTATTTTTCTTTGTATTCGCAGTCTTTTTGACTATTCGTCTTTCTTTAAGCAAATTCCCTTTGATTCCCTAAATTCCTTTATATACTCCTTTCTATCTTTCTTTCTGGCTTAAAATTCTTTTCACTTTCTACCAGCAGCCTTTCTTCCTTTCTACTTACTACTCACATCTTTCCTTCTTTTCTCTCTTAAAATCACTTGCTTGATCTATCTTCTTTCCAGCTTTCTCGTAGTGCTTCTTTCCTTATTTCCGTCTCTTTTTATTTAATTTATTAAATTTTCTCTTTCTATTTTCATAAAGTCTTTGTGTTTGTTTCACTAAATTTCTTTTCTGTCTTTCTTACTTCGAATTTTGAAAAAGATCACTGGATATTTATTGTATACATTTTTCTATTGTTCTTTTCTCTTTCGTCAATCAGATTTCTTTATTTTTTTCTTTTTGTTTTTTGTTTTCTTAAAATCCTTTCCAATGCTTAAAAATCTCTCATTTCCTTTTTAGCTACTTTTTCACAGAATAATTCTTCATTTGATTTTAAAAATAAATTCCGATTTTTCATTTTTCTTTTTCTTTTTTTGATTTTGACTATTTTTATTCTTTTTCAAATCACTATTTCCTTCATCCGGCATTTACTATTTTTATTCTTTTAATTGTTTGATCCCATTTAAACTTAATTTAATTTAATTTATTGTATTTTTATCTTATTTCTCTTGTAAACATTTCATAGTTTAATCCAGCTTATGCTTATTTTCATTGGGATATTTTCGATTCTTTTTTTTAATTTCAGGATGCGATATACATCATTGTAAACATCAATTTTTCTTTCTCGGATATATATATATATATATATATATATATATATATATATATATATATATATATATATATATATGCGTGCCAAATTATTATTGAGATATCTTTTTTCTAATATTTCAAAACCGTCCAATCAATTCACACAAAATGTTCACACAATGTTGGCAACACTGATCTGCGCAATCACTGAAATTTTCGACTTGATCTGCGCAATGTAAACAAACTGGCGCCATATTTATTATCAGTACGGTGATTTGAGCGTGCCAAATTATTAGAAAGGTTTAGTAAAAATCCCAGAATTGAGCACACAGAACGTTTATTAATGTTGCTCGTGAATATTTATGATCAAAAGAAGCTAATAAATAAGATAATCAAATAATAACAGATACAAACAAAGGCATAGTTTAAAACAAATTAATAGGGAATGTGCTTTCCCTGTTTTTAAATTACTTGAAGAAGTCTACGATCCATAGAATTTGTTAATTGTAGGATGTCATCTGCTGTAATGCCACGAGATATGTCAAGAATTTCTTCCCACAACTCAGCGTTGCTCCTGAATTGTCGTCCGTTGGCGTACAGTCTTCGCTTCATGATGCTCCAAAGGTTTTCGATTGGGTTCAATTCCGGATAATTTGCTGGCCACTTCATTTTTCGAGGTCCATCGAAGCCTAAGTGTTTCAAATATTCAGTAGTCTTGTGAGCAGCATGTCAGGGAGCATTATCTTGCATAAAAATAATGGCCCTTCTGAAAGCAACTCTTTGCCTTTTCATCAACGGTTCAAGATGCTCCTTCATAAACGCTATGTATGCATCAACAGTCATTTTGACGCCATCTGGTACTCTCCATGGGCCCACTAATGTTTTCCCAATAATACCACCCCAGATCATTATGCCTCCACCGCCTTGTTGACGTCTCAAACGCTGATGGCGACTCTGTCCGTTCATTACCCAGCCTTTGAACCATCTACTAGCCCCTCAAGTGTTTCGTCTTCATATTGTCCTCGGCCCATTTCAATCGATTTTGAATGTGATTTCTCGTCAAGGGAAGCTTCGATACAGGTTTCACTGTTGTTGATATTTCCCTCAGATACCGACACCAAGTACTTTTAGACACAGTAGCATCCCCAAATGCGACTGAAAATCTCTTGGCTGGTAAGTCCAGGGTTCTTTGTGGCTCCTCGTTTAAGTCGTGACATGAGACGACGGGAAATAACCCTTGGCTTGCCTTTATCTGCCCTTTTGCATACTTGTGTAGTGTCGGCGGTGAAATTTTCTATGTTTGACGACACCTCCCTATCATTTTAGAAATTTCTAGGGTACATTTAACTTTTGAGAGTTCCGAGGTGTTAGATTTCTTTTTAGCATCACTTAAACTGCTTTTATGGCCCATCTTTTTACTAAATTCTTACACTTTTCTAATAATTTGGCACGCTCAAATCACCGTGCTGATAACAAATATGGCGCCAGTTTGTTTACATTGCGCAGATCAGATCGAACATTTCAGTGATTGCGCAGGTCAGTGTTGCCAACATTGTGTGAAAATTTTGTGTGAATTGATTGGACGGTTTTTGAAATATTAGAAAAAATGTTATCTCGATAATAATTTGGCCCGCAGTGTATATATAGTAATAATAATAACAATAATAATAATAATATAAGTAATTATACTAATCTCGAAATACCTTAGGTGTTTTGGCTTGTAAATGAACAAACCAATATCCAAGGAAAAATAAGGAACAAAAAAAGAAAGAACTAAGAACATGTAATTGAGGCGAAAGCAATCGTCAAGAATCCAAGCTCAGAGTCCAAAGAAAAACACCCCCAACACGAGTAAAGCAGAAGTAACTAAGCAAAGTGCTCGATGCACTAAGTAGAGCAAATCTAACTATGAACTGGATCTTTAGGTTCATAATTATATATAACAGATGATCCTTAAAAACCCATTCCGTTATAATTGTCTTGGATTGTTAGGGTCGAGAAAGAAAGACACGGAACAAGTGTATTGAAATAACAGAACATATATACAAAATAAGAGTGTTATTAGTCAGCAGATAGAAGTGTCCATCCGAACAGTTAGGTTACACAGCGTCCCGACTGCCTCTGTTTAGGAAGTCTCGCAGATTAGTATTTATGAAGGAGGAAAAGTTCATTCTAATGTTTATAGGACACCATAACAATAATTTATGTCATGAATATACAAATACTCTTCTCTTCAGGTTCAATTTTTTCTAATTTTTTTTTCACTCAGAAGAGTATTCGTTCTGGGGAGGGGGCAGGGTGATAATCTGACAGGGGAACTACAGATGCAAAAAACTATTCTTTAGAAAAACTTGAAAGGTTTCAAAATATCAAAAATTCTATGTTACAATGTTTCACACTTAGGGATAATCTAACATTGTACTTTGACTGCATTACCAAAATCTGAATGCTGTAATATACAGCAATAATCTAGTTGAGAAACAATATTTCGTTTATACAATTTTCTTTAAAACCCAGCGAATGTTCCGTTGTGGTTATCTTTTTTTTTTTTTATCCTTTCAATACTACTAATAATTTTGCTCGCTTACGGCTGGTACTGGAATATGAAATTTCTCATATGTGAGTACTTTCGGCTAAAACCGCTACCCATTTTTAAAGACGTTTCTTTCTAAGGAATTAATGGATTTTATTTTTTAATCCGACATATTTTTCTTGCTTCAAATATTATTTTAGTGGGCACCTGTGTTTGAGTAGACGCTCCGTTTTTTTTTTGTTTTTTTTTTGTTTATTTTTCCTTAGTATTCATTTAACGACTGTGCAGGGTGGTAGACGAATTAAATACTGTTTAAAATATAACAAAAATGGAACGTCTACTTCCGGCAGGAAGATAACACATTGGCGCCGCTCGTTGATGACCCCAGTGTCGAATTTTATATCTACATAATATTCCTGGTATTGAGTACTCTTTACTGATAATTATAGTATATTTTAAAACTATATTTTTATCATTATATATATATATATATATATATATAATAAAAAAGGCTTAAACCGTAATATTCCATGGTTATAATTTATTCCATTGGAATCGTAAATACGATCCAATTCATCAGACCTACAAATTCAAAAAAAAAAAAACAGCAAAAAACAAACAAAAAACAACTTCGGAAATAAAAAAATAGAATTTAGAGAGAGTGTAAGTATGAGAGTGTGGGACGAATGTTAGAGCTAAAGAGAGGGGTAACAGACGAGAGAAGGTGGGGGATTAAAACTTAACAGAGAGGAGTTTTAGAGAGGCGAGTTGAAGACAGTTTAAGTGAGAGAAATATGAATGTTGTCGGATGTCTAATGCATATAAAGATGTAACCGGAAAGGATTCATTTTGTGGTGATATACACACAGAATATAGACGATCTAATCTTATAGATCAGAAGAAGAGGGAGAGGAAAAGAAAATATTATCATGTATGTGTATATTTACCACTAATATTATCTATCTATCTATCTATCTATCTATCTATATATATATATATATATATATATATATATATATATATGGAGGGGTAGAGAGGAAGTGCGCATATACATGCGCGTACTGGTATATATTAAAGAAACCCTACAGAACATAGCATGTGCGTGTATGTATGTTTGTGTGTGTGTGTGTATGTGTACATATGTGTAAACTAATTCCTTATAATAAGACAGTATGTATATATGGAGAGTGAATATACGTATGCGTACGCATGCTGACAAAAACACAAAAAATGGAAATAGATATAAGGACACACAGGGGTCATTAAAACATAAGAATATAGATATCATTCTCAGCTTTTCTCGGACCAGTCTTAATTGTTGTATTACCCTTCACGCAGAATTCTTTCACTGCCATCAAGAAAGACATTTGGATCACTAACATTCACAAAAAAGAGTATGTCTGATTTCGAGAATATTTAGCATCGAAAAACATACGAAAAATTTATTCCTTTTAATAATATGTAGAAATATCCACACTTTGCCCGATGAAGGTCGCAGGAACGGAAACACGTGTAGTAAAATTATGGAAACTAAGGCAAAATATATTTGTTAAAAAACTCCATATTACAACCAAAAACGTTTGCGGTTTATCTCTTCTTTTTATTATACACGCGTTTCTCTCGGTGGGACCACTACAACCTCTTCCTTTTTATATATATATATATATATATATATATATATATATATATATATATATATATATATATATATATATATATATATATATATATATATGAATTTAAAGAGCCATGTAAATCTACCTAGGTTTCACCTATACGGATCGTTTACCTGGCTCTTTAGCTTCATATTTAGGTTTGGTCTACTTTAGCGTATGGAGCACTTTACGTAGTTACTTTTGCATTACTCGATTTGGAGGTTTTTCTTTGCACTCTGAGCTTGAATTCTGGACGATCGTTTTCGCCTCAATTTCATGGTCTTAGTTCT